ATCATAGAAACGTCTGTAGCTCTATTATAGAAATGTCTGTAGCTCTATCATAGAAACGTCTGTAGCTCTATCATAGAAACGTCTGTAGCTCTATCATAGAAACGTCTGTAGCTCTATCATAGAAACGTCTGTAGCTCTATCATAGAAACGTCTGTAGCTCTATTATAGAAATGTCTGTAGCTCTATCATAGAAACGTCTGTAGCTCTATCATAGAAACGTCTGTAGCTCTATTATAGAAATGTCTGTAGCTCTATTATAGAAACGTCTGTAGCTCTATCATAGAAACGTCTGTAGCTCTATCATAGAAACGTCTGTAGCTCTATTATAGAAATGTCTGTAGCTCTATTATAGAAATGTCTGTAGCTCTATCATAGAAACGTCTGTAGCTCTATCATAGAAACGTCTGTAGCTCTATCATAGAAACGTCTGTAGCTCTATTATAGAAATGTCTGTAGCTCTATCATAGAAATGTCTGTAGCTCTATCATAGAAACGTCTGTAGCTCTATCATAGAAACGTCTGTAGCTCTATCATAGAAACGTCTGTAGCTCTATCATAGAAACGTCTGTAGCTCTATTATAGAAATGTCTGTAGCTCTATCATAGAAACGTCTGTAGCTCTATCATAGAAACGTCTGTAGCTCTATCATAGAAACGTCTGTAGCTCTATTATAGAAACGTCTGTAGCTCTATTATAGAAATGTCTGTAGCTCTATTATAGAAACGTCTGTAGCTCTATCATAGAAACGTCTGTAGCTCTATTATAGAAACGTCTGTAGCTCTATCATAGAAACGTCTGTAGCTCTATCATAGAAACGTCTGTAGCTCTATTATAGAAATGTCTGTAGCTCTATTATAGAAATGTCTGTAGCTCTATCATAGAAACGTCTGTAGCTCTATTATAGAAACGTCTGTAGCTCTATCATAGAAACGTCTGTAGCTCTATTATAGAAACGTCTGTAGCTCTATCATAGAAACGTCTGTAGCTCTATTATAGAAATGTCTGTAGCTCTATTATAGAAATGTCTGTAGCTCTATTATAGAAATGTCTGTAGCTCTATCATAGAAACGTCTGTAGCTCTATTATAGAAACGTCTGTAGCTCTATCATAGAAACGTCTGTAGCTCTATCATAGAAACGTCTGTAGCTCTATTATAGAAACGTCTGTAGCTCTATCATAGAAACGTCTGTAGCTCTATTATAGAAACGTCTGTAGCTCTATCATAGAAACGTCTGTAGCTCTATTATAGAAATGTCTGTAGCTCTATTATAGAAATGTCTGTAGCTCTATTATAGAAACGTCTGTAGCTCTATCATAGAAACGTCTGTAGCTCTATTATAGAAACGTCTGTAGCTCTATCATAGAAACGTCTGTAGCTCTATCATAGAAACGTCTGTAGCTCTATTATAGAAACGTCTGTAGCTCTATCATAGAAACGTCTGTAGCTCTATCATAGAAACGTCTGTAGCTCTATCATAGAAACGTCTGTAGCTCTATTATAGAAACGTCTGTAGCTCTATTATAGAAACGTCTGTAGCTCTATCATAGAAACGTCTGTAGCTCTATTATAGAAGCGTCTGTAGCTCTATTATAGAAATGTCTGTAGCTCTATCATAGAAACGTCTGTAGCTCTATTATAGAAGCGTCTGTAGCTCTATTATAGAAATGTCTGTAGCTCCCCTCTGTTTAAGGAAGCAGAAATGAATCAGTCGAAGCAGGAAGGAACTGAAGTTAAACTAGATTCCTCTCTAGATGTTGCAGCTCTACCATGTTCCTCCACCAGGGAGCAGCAGTCAGGCCTTATTTAACAGCAGCTGATGGGGACCCCAGCATAGAGCTGAGGGGAACCCCTAATCAGACGCAGTGGCCAATGAGGGATTGCTTCCCAAAGCAGAGCTTGTTTTATCAGCAATCCTGAAAGAAAGGATCAGATCATGTGGAGCTGATGAGTTTCTACTGATGCAGACATCAGATGATCTGATGGTTTCATTGGTTCGTATGAAAGGAGGAGGGCGGAGTCAATAAAAGCTTCAGAGCTTAGCATCAGATGCTAATGCTGGTTATAGCGACCGTCGCTACCCGATCAGCTCATTCACACTTCCAGATATACATCCGGGGCGCCTCCAGTTTAGTTTGTAAAAAAAGTCCTAAATTACGTTTTCCCTCCTTAGAAAAAGTCAGCGTACTAAAATATAATATATTAAAGGTTAATAATGTATTTCCTGAGAAAATAAAAACATTTAAATCCTTTCTGTTTTATCCTGATGTGTAGAGGAAATGGGATGCTACGCTAATTCCAGGAGCTAATTTTATCAGCTTTGGATTCAAACATAAATCTAGTCTTTCTGAGTTTAATGTTTTCTTTTCATGTTAACATTATGCTATATATTGGTAATCTAAAGAAAGAAACAACTAGAATGCAGATAAACATGTTTTAATCAGATTTACTGCTCTGATCATGATGACGTCAGAGAAGCTGTTTGACGGAGAAAATGGAAAAAAACATCAAAAATATCTCAGAAAAATCATAAAACATTTTTAAAGATGTGAATTAGCATTCTTTGGTGAGTTGAGGATAGAAATAAGTATTTTTAGACATATATTTTTTATGCGCATGTGCAGGACGGGCGGTGCTTCAGGGACCGCCTGTAGCGACAGCGACCATTGCTAAATGCTCGTATGAAGTGATGAGTTTGAAATGTTCCTCTCGTCTGGTTTCCTTCATGATGGAAGCTGTTGAACCCTGATGGGTCGCCGTTTGTTTCATGAACTAAAATGACCGATAATCCAGCTTATCATTTTGGAAATGATGTGAAGCTTCTGTTCATATCTGGTCGCACAGAGACATGGCTGCTGCAGTGTCTGGTTTTAGATCTTTGCTTTCCTGTGAAATCAGTCGCAGTGAAGTCCAGTTCTTCTCGATATTGTGATTTTATTCTCATAGTTTATGAATTTATTGACTTTATTCTTGTCATTTTATGGCCCTTTTCTCATAATATTGAGACTTTGCGATTTTATTTTAACCCAGAGCAGAGGAGGTGTCTGTTCGGACCCTCCCCTCTGTAATGAACCACTCAGACCAAGGATCAGCCATGTGGTGGCGGGGGTCAAAGGTCAGCAGATAAACCTGAGCAGGATCTAAGGCTGAGGAATGTCGTGTCACACAAGAATCTGCAGAAGTTCTGATCCGTTTCACCTTCGATTGAAGAAAGATGGATCCATTCAGGCGCCGACAGACGGGTTCTGGACCTGAGCTCCTGATGCCCCCGATTATAGAGGAGAGCCGCAGGAGGAGGCTCCTCTGAAGGAGGAAAACATGGCCGACGCTCAGGAACACTGACCTAGATGGAGGAGGAGGTCTGATGGGTGGGAGAAGGTTTCCTCTCCTTAGAGGGAGGGAGGATGTGGAGCAGAACATAAAGGGAAGAACAGAAAGAAGAGAAGCAGGAGTTGAAGAGGAGGAGGAGCAGGGAGGAGGAGGAGCAGGGAGGAGGAGGAGCAGGGAGGAGGAGGAGCAGGGAGGAGGAGGTCTGATGGGTGGGAGAAGGTTTCCTCTCCTTAGAGGGAGGGAGGATGTGGAGCAGAACATAAAGGGAAGAACAGAAAGAAGAGAAGCAGGAGCTGAAGAGGAGGAGGAGCAGGGAGGAGGGTGGAAAATGGAAGAAGGGTTGAACTCCTCAGGAGCTGTTTGATGTCTGCCTGCTGCACCTTCTAACAGGATGAAACTGTTTGATCTTTTAAAAAACGGAGGAGGAGGAGGAGGAGGAGGGAGGGAGGAGGATGAAGGGGAGGAGGAGGAGGAGGAGGGGGGGGGGGTAGACCTGAACTACTTCTGCTCAGACCCAGAACATGTTCATGGAGGAGTCAGGTGCTCCGTATTCAGGCTCCAGCAGGTCAGAGGTCGTCTCCTCCAGTAGAAGGACCTCCTGCAGGAGGAGCTGCTGGCTGGACATGGAGGTTCTGGTTCTGATGGGACGGGAGGCCCGGTTACTGTCTGAGGAGAAGGTCCGACCAATGTTTACCTTCTGCTCTGCTCCCTGGGTTTGAGGAGGCGCTGATCCAGTGTGTCTGAGCCTGCAGGGAGGAGGGACAGGAGGAGGAGGAGGAGGAGGCTCCACCCTGCTCATTAGAGCAAAGCAGGCAGGAAAACCAGGACTGGATCAGGATCCTTGAAAAGAGAGAAATTGGTTTGAAATAATCAGTTTAGATGAATAATTATTCTGCAGTTTAAATAAAACTGAAGCAGACTTCAGTCTGTAGTTATCAATCAGTTAATGACTGGTTAATAATCAGTTAATGATCAGTTAATGACTGGTTAATAATCAGTTAATGATCAGTTAATGACTGGTTAATAATCAGTTAATAATCAGTTAATGACTGGTTAAAGCTGCAGTCTGTAACATTGAGGAGAGAGCAGACTTCGACTGAAAATTTGAAGAAAAACAGGTTTCACGCCACTCCCCCACCCTCTCTGCTTCACCTCCAAGCTCCACCCCTCTCACAGCATCTGCGCGGCTACCGCATGCGACCAGAAGGGGGGGGGGGGCGGGATTCAGCGTGTGTGAGCTGTGATTGACACTCCATCAGACACTCATCTGGCTGTGATTGGTTGTTTTGACTCGTCCCGAATTATTCTTTCCAGATTGAAATACAGGCAGTAGGCGGGACCAATTGAAGCAGTTTTTTTCACAGGTTACATATCACATGTACTGCTGTCTGGGCATAGGGACAGTTTTAGCCAATATGACAAAAAAAGTGATTTTTAAAAACTTACAGACTTCAGCTTTAATAAGCAGTTAATGATTATTCATTATTTAGTATTTAATTATTATTAGTTATTAATTGGTTAATAAATGAGAACCAGTGATCCTCCAGCAGAAGCAGGTCAGAGGGTTAAAGTTCTGTGGAGCCGCCCCAGCTGTGATCCAGTCCAGGTTTCCTCCCGCCCCATTTCTCCCTCCTCCCTCCTCCCCCCTCCTCCCTCCCCTGTGTGGGTGTCAGTGATCAGGCAGAGCAGCTCAGACTGCAGCAGGACTCCGTAGCTCCCGGTCGGCTCCTTTCTCCGTCTGTCAGGACGAGACGAGCTCTGAGAGCTCAGCTTTGGTCTCAGGTGAAGTGGGAGGCGGGGGAGGAGGAGGGCCTCCGCCCCGGAGCTCTGAGGGAGGAGATGAAAGCACAATGGGAGCAGGAGGTCTGGGTGGCTGCTCTGTGACACGGAAACGCTGCTGGATGAGCTCTGATAGGAGAGCGGATCCTCTGGGATGAGCTGGGAATGTGCTTCCTGTGAGGAACATCTGGAATACTGAGAGGAGAACAGGAGGAGAACGGAGGAGGAGAACAGCAGCCGGGTCGGTGTGGGGATGTTCCTGCTGGAGCAGATGGAGAGAGGAACTCCTCAGAGGAAGACCGTCTACAGGATCTCCCTGACGCTGGTGAAGAGGGAGAGTCTGGATGAACCCAGGGGGGAGGAGGAGGGGGGCCCCCCACCGGGGGCCGTCAGGAAGGAGGGGGGTTTGTTGGAGCAGCTGAAGGAGGTGGAGGACGAGTCTGAGGGTCTGAGTGGATCCCATGGCTTCATGAGGAGATTCAGGACGTTCAGCACCGGCCAGCTGGAGCTGGGCCGCATCAGGAGGTGCAGGAGGAGCCAGAGGGAGGAGCCCGGGGGGAAGGAGCCCGGGGGGAAGGAGCCCGGGGGGAAGGAGCCCGGGGGAAAGGAGCCCGCAGGGAAGGAGCCTGTCAAGGCTGAGACCGCTGCTGCCAAGGTTAGGAGGCTCCTGAAGGCCCGCAGCATGGAGGAGAGGAGCCCCCCTCCAGGGACCAATGGGGCCCCTTCTCCCCCCTGGAAGCCGGGGCTCCTTCAGCGCAGCTTCAGTTTCAGAACCAGGATCAGCGGAGAGCTGCTGCGTCTGAGGGCCCTGTCCAGACAGAGGCACCACAGCAGCTCCGACTGCATCACCGGGCCCCCCACCGGGCCCCCGACCCCCACAACCCGCCGCCACAGCCGGGAAAAGAGCCGCACCCTGGAGGTGGGCGCCGTCCTCAACCGGACCGACTCCCTGACGGAGTTAAGCCGTCGGGAGAGGGCCCGGGGCAACAAGAACCGGACCCTGGACAACAGCGACCTGCTGCGGCTGAGGGCCGAGGGAGAGGGGGGGTCCCTGCTGCGGGGGGGCGGGGGCCGCTCCAGCGAAAGGCGTCTGGGTCGCTTCTTCAGCGGGATCTTCTCCAGGAGGGACGGCGGGGCCAGTCCGGCCGGGAGCCCCGGCTTTGGGCGGTCCCTGAGGCGCAGCAGGAGGACGGCGTCCTCGCAGTCCAGCACGGATAGCGTGAACGGAACCGGCGCCGACGGTAACCGCACCACACACAGAACCTGCAGCTCTGCTCCGCTGCAGAACTGGGCCGCGGGGCGGAGCGCCGACCGCTGAGCAAACATCCTGTTTCCATCCAGGGTGGAAAACCTGACCCGGTTCTGATGCCGCATCGTCCCACTGATTACCAGCAGAGGTTCTGACCCGGTCCGTTTATCCTCAGCTACCCGCTTCTGTTCTGAAGTTCTGACCTGGTTCTAGCAGACAGGAAGTGTTCCTAGAGCTGATGGTTCTCTAGGAACTGTAGGTCTGAGGTTCTGACCCGTCTCTATAGGGTCTGAGGTTCTGACCCGGCTTAGCTGACTCAGATTTTTTCCTGTTAGAATAGAACTCTGATCATTTCTCACGTTGGGTTGCTGATGGCGTCGGAGGGCCGTTAGTTTGGACCGGTTCTGGACCGGTTCTGCTTGTTCTGCTGAGTTTCCTCAGGTGGAGCTCCTGGAGGTGGACTGACAGGTCTGAGGGAGGCGCATGAGGAGGAGGTCCTCCACATTGCTGGGATTCCTGGGCACCTCTAAGCCTAGACACCTGGGGGGGGGTGGGGGGGGTGACCTACATCCACAGCCAAGCAGAAGTAATGTCCTCCTATCAGCAGCGTCTCTGCTTCCTGAGGACAGAGGACTGAGCACGCTCAGACGCTCTGCAGGAGGTGTTAGGAGGCAGGAGGTCAGGTTAGGAGGCAGGAGGTCGGGTTAGGAGGCAGGAGGTCGGGTTAGGAGGCAGGATGTCGAATAGGAAGCAGGAGGTCGGGTTAGGAAGCAGGAGGTCAGGTTAGGAGGCAGGAGGTCAGGTTAGGAGGCAGGAGGTCGGGTTAGGAGCCAGGAGGTCAGGTTAGGAAGCAGGAGGTCGGGTTAGGAGCCAGGAGGTCGGGTTAGGAGGCAGGAGGTCGGGTTAGGAGGCAGGATGTCGAATAGGAAGCAGGAGGTCAGGTTAGGAGGCAGGAGGTCAGGTTAGGAGGCAGGAGGTCGGGTTAGGAGCCAGGAGGTCAGGTTAGGAAGCAGGAGGTCGGGTTAGGAGCCAGGAGGTCAGGTTAGGAAGCAGGAGGTCAGGTTAGGAGGCAGGAGGTCAAGTTAGGATGTCGAATAGGAAGCAGGAGGTCAGGTTAGGAGGCAGGAGGTCGGGTTAGGAGGCAGGATGTCGAATAGGAAGCAGGAGGTCAGGTTAGGAGGCAGGAGGTCAGGTTAGGAGGGGCAGGAGGTCGGGTTAGGAGGCAGGAGGTCGGGTTAGGAAGCAGGAGGTCGGGTTAGGAGGCAGGAGGTCGGGTTAGGAGGCAGGAGGTCGGGTTAGGAGGCAGGAGGTCGGGTTAGGAGGCAGGAGGTCGGGTTAGGAGGCAGGATGTCGAATAGGAAGCAGGAGGTCAGGTTAGGAGGCAGGAGGTCAGGTTAGGAGGCAGAGGTCAAGTTAGGATGTCGAATAGGAAGCAGGAGGTCAGGTTAGGAGGCAGGAGGTCGGGTTAGGAAGCAGGAGGTCAGGTTAGGAGGCAGGAGGTCGGGTTAGGAGGCAGGAGGTCGGGTTAGGAGGCAGGAGGTCGGGTTAGGAGGCAGGAGGTCGGGTTAGGAGGCAGGAGGTCGGGTTAGGAAGCAGGAGGTCAGGTTAGGAGGCAGGAGGTCGGGTTAGGAGGCAGGAGGTCGGGTTAGGAGGCAGGAGGTCGGGTTAGGAGGCAGGAGGTCGGGTTAGGAGGCAGGAGGTCGGGTTAGGAGGCAGGAGGTCAGGTTAGGAGGCAGGATGTCGAATAGGAAGCAGGAGGTGTCAGCAGGGTTTCATCCTTAATCTCCAGGTGTTCCTCTAACAGCCCACAGCACTACAGCTCCTGTCTGTGCTTTTAAAGGCTGATGTTCAGCTGCTCATGTTTCCAGATGGTCGGACCTCCAGCTCTGGGTTAGTTTATTAGCTGGCTGCTGTTTCACCTGCAGGTCAGAGGTCACCCAGAGGTCACCCAGAGGTCACCCAGAGGTCACACAGAGGTCATCCAGAGGTCACAGAGCTGCTGTGGTCTGTCCTGCAGCTGCTCTCTCTTCAGACTGATGAAGCTCCTTCTCTGGGAGCTCCTCCCTCCCTCTAATCCCCTGATCAGTCTCCTCCTCCTTTCTGATGTAAGCATCAAATCCTCCTGAGGAGCGCGGCCAGCTCCTGGTGATGCTGAGGAGATAGGAGGAGGTCCCAGTTCCTCCAACACCTTCAGCATTCGGCAGCGACAGCATGACCTGCTCTGGTCAGAGGGTAACGCTGCTGAAGCTGCTGGTTCCCAGTAAGACCCAAACCATTCCTATAATGGGACTGAAGCTTTGACTTGTGGAATTAGGAGATTAAAGCAGCTTCTAATCCTGACCCACTGAACCAGAGGGACAGGCTGTGGATCAAAGAGCAGATCTATAGCAAACAGATGCAGCCCGTCAGGTTCTAAAGGCTGCTGCTGCTTCTCTGACCCAGACTCTGAAACTGACTTCCTGCCTCTCAGCTGACAGAGATCTGAGTTTAAAAATAAAAAGCCTGACAGTGAGTCAGGAGCAGGAGAGTGGAGGATGGACAGACTGCAGGCTGACTGCACGCTGGCTGCAGGCGGACTGCAGGCTGGCTGCAGGCGGACTGCACGCTGGCTGCAGGCGGACTGCACGCTGGCTGCAGGCGGACTGCACGCTGGCTGCACGCTGGCTGCAGGCTGGCTGCAGGCGGACTGCAGGCTGGCTGCAGGCGGACTGCACGCTGGCTGCAGGCGGACTGCACGCTGGCTGCAGGCGGACTGCACGCTGGCTGCAGGCGGACTGCAGGCTGACTGCAGGCGGACTGCAGGCGGACTGCAGGCTGACTGCAGGCGGACTGCACGCTGGCTGCACGCTGTCTGCATGCTGACTGCACGCTGGCTGCAGGCGGACTGCAGGCTGGCTGCACGCTGGCTGCAGGCGGACTGCAGGCTGGCTGCAGGCGGACTGCACGCTGGCTGCAGGCGGACTGCACGCTGGCTGCAGGCGGACTGCACGCTGGCTGCACGCTGGCTGCAGGCTGGCTGCAGGCGGACTGCAGGCTGGCTGCAGGCGGACTGCACGCTGGCTGCAGGCGGACTGCACGCTGGCTGCAGGCGGACTGCACGCTGGCTGCAGGCGGACTGCAGGCTGACTGCAGGCGGACTGCAGGCGGACTGCAGGCTGACTGCAGGCGGACTGCACGCTGGCTGCACGCTGGCTGCAGGCGGACTGCACGCTGGCTGCAGGCGGACTGCAGGCTGGCTGCACGCTGGCTGCAGGCGGACTGCAGGCTGGCTGCACGCTGGCTGCAGGCGGACTGCAGGCTGGCTGCAGGCGGACTGCAGGCTGGCTGCAGGCGGACTGCAGGCTGGCTGCAGGCGGACTGCAGGCTGGCTGCAGGCGGACTGCAGGCTGGCTGCAGGCGGACTGCACGCTGGCTGCAGGCGGACTGCACGCTGGCTGCAGGCGGACTGCACGCTGGCTGCAGGCGGACTGCAGGCTGACTGCAGGCGGACTGCACGCTGGCTGCAGGCGGACTGCACGCTGGCTGCAGGCGGACTGCACGCTGGCTGCAGGCGGACTGCAGGCTGACTGCAGGCGGACTGCACGCTGGCTGCACGCTGGCTGCAGGCGGACTGCAGGCTGGCTGCACGCTGGCTGCACGCTGGCTGCAGGCGGACTGCAGGCTGGCTGCAGGCGGACTGCAGGCTGGCTGCAGGCGGACTGCACGCTGGCTGCAGGCGGACTGCACGCTGGCTGCAGGCGGACTGCACGCTGGCTGCAGGCGGACTGCAGGCTGACTGCAGGCGGACTGCACGCTGGCTGCACGCTGGCTGCAGGCGGACTGCACGCTGGCTGCAGGCGGACTGCAGGCTGACTGCAGGCGGACTGCACGCTGGCTGCAGGCGGACTGCAGGCTGGCTGCACGCTGGCTGCAGGCTGGCTGCAGGCGGACTGCAGGCTGGCTGCAGGCGGACTGCACGCTGGCTGCAGGCGGACTGCACGCTGGCTGCAGGCGGACTGCAGGCTGGCTGCACGCGGGCTGCACGCTGGCTGCAGGCGGACTGCAGGCTGGCTGCAGGCGGACTGCAGGCTGGCTGCAGGCGGACTGCAGGCTGGCTGCAGGCGGACTGCAGGCTGACTGCAGGCGGACTGCAGGCTGGCTGCACGCTGGCTGCAGGCGGACTGCACGCTGGCTGCAGGCGGACTGTAGGCTGGCTGCAGGCGGACTGCACGCTGGCTGCACGCTGGCTGCAGGCGGACTGCAGGCTGGCTGCAGGCTGGCTGCAGGTGGACTGCTCACTGGCTGCAGGCGGGCTGCAGGCGAACTGCAGGCTGGCTGCACACTGCCTGCAGCCAGCCTGCAGGCAGTGTGCAGCCAGCCTGCAGTCAGCCTGCAGCCCGCCTGCAGGCGGACTGCAGGCTGGCTGCACACTGGCTGCAGTCCGCCTGCAGGCTGGCTGCAAGCAGACTGCCAGGAACATTAGCAGGAACCATTAGCAGGAACCAAAGAGGAACCATCCCAGGCATCTACCTTCTGGGATATAGAGGGTATTGGGAACTTTTGGGTAAAGCAGACATTTAGGTTTGTGTTTTAAATGCTGATTTTGAGGAACTAGCTGGTATCTAGAAGGTGATTGGGATCCAAGTTCATCCCGAATACACTAAACATTCAACAAAGTTACTGAGAACTGGAGCTAATGACTGAAGTTCCTAGAGGTAAAGCTACCTACAAGTGAGGACTACACCCTGTCTAAGAGGCTGGTTAGTTTCTGTTATGGTTCCTAGTTTAGTTCATGGTTTAGTTCCTGTTTAATTATCAGTTTAGTTCCTGGTTTAGTTATTGGTTTATTTTCTGGTTCGGTTCCTGGTTTAGTTCCTGGTTTAATTACTGGTTTGGTTACTGGTTTAATTACTGGTTCGGTTCCTGGTTTAGTTATTGGTTTAGTTCCTGGTTTAATTACTGGTTTGGTTCCTGGTTTAATTACTGGTTTGGTTCCTGGTTTATTTACTGGTT